ACTATTCCCCTTATGTTTTTATTTAGCTGAATGGTTGTCAGACTGATGATAATATCTTGTGTATAGCTGCAGGAAAATCAAAATCTAATTTGCAATTTTAACATACGGATCAGCTGATCTTTTATGTAACTTAGTCTGCATGTATGCATAAAATCAGAACTTATTCAGAGCATCAGCATGTAAATAAATGTAACTTTTTATATAATTGCAGAGCTTAAAAGAATTAAATTAATTTGATTATATTGAGATTGTTTTTCATCAGATAAATTCTAATTTAAAAGAGGCTCTTAATTTTTTTTAAAATTCATTTTAAAATATTATTTTATTATAACAAAAGTTATGAAAAACTGTTCAGAAATGCACGGCACCTTCTGAAGCACAGCTCAGCTGTCAGTTTTAAACAAATGAAGGTAAAATGTGATGGACTCACCTTACCGGTCAGAGAAATGTGCATCACTTCGTTCTTCTGAACATGCTCTAATGAAAAAGAGCTGGAAATCTGTTTCCACCGGTAGAACGCATGTTATCCTGGCAGAGTAAACACCTGGAGAACCATCTCGTGGCAGACTCCAAGTATTCCTGCCACACAGGTGGATGAAGCGCCATGGCCTCTCTGTTCCAGCTAACACACTTGCTCCTTCATGCCTCTGATTCCTCATCATTTTTCGCCGCCGTGCCGACGGGATCATAGTTTCCCAGTCAGAGGCGCCTAGCTGCAGTGGCTCAGCAAAGGGCTTTTACACAAATATATTCCCTCCCTGATTGATCACTTTGCGACTCAGGGGTTCAAAGCCGGTCATGAACAATATTTGGATGTCAGGGATCTCTTCCACCCAGGGGCCCTCAATTAACACGACGCCCCGTGCCAGATGTCCCCGGCTACTCCGTGTTACCTGAGGAGGCCACATTAGATGAACCTTTCCCTGTGAAGTTCAGGGTAAGCTCAGGGGAGCAACAGAAGGCTCCCAGGTTGAAAGTTGAAGTTGGAGCGGATTATCCGCAACGTCCCCATGGCTCTCTTTCATACTACTCTAGTGTTTTTGTTTCAGAGCGGTCGGCAGCGGCTCTGTTTCACTGAGGGGCTGACCGCGTGTCACAGAGAAAAATACCGTTGACCTCCAAACATGCGACTGCTACACAACAGCTTTTTTCTGGTCCTTTCACAAAACAGCAAACATTTGGTAAATAGTCAGAAAACACACTGTTAAAAAGTTGATCTATTAGAAGGTTCAACTTTTAAGGTCAAGTGATGCCGGCTCATTACGCAACTCTCTGCAGCTTTTCTTAAGATCCCAGTGACTGCAACGAAAACCAAAAGTAGGAAGCACTGCTATGGCAGATAACCGGCATTTATTGTTACTGTATACATCATGTATATTTCTCAACTCTTTTGACACCTTGATTAAAACTACCACACCACTAACTTCACCAGATAAACTTCCCATAATCCTGTGCTGCATCGTTATCACTGTCACATGACCAAACAAACATCACATGATCAACCTCCTTCCCTCCTCATCCAGAAACAAACGGCAACAAAGATGGTAAAAATATTGATTGTTAACATATATATATATGCTAGAAAATGACTAATATCAACCAATACCAATGTTAGTGCTGATACATGATGGATCCCTAACATGTTGTGTTCTACTGGTCACTCTTAGAGTGGAGAAAAATTTTAAGCATGTCACCAAACATAAAGTCATTATATCTTACATACAAACTGCAATTAAAGGACAGGTTTATCCTAATTTTTAAAATCTCAACTCCAACCTTTGTTTCATACATGCAAACATTTTCTCCTATAAAACTATGACTGTATTTAACTGTGTGTTTTTCCAATAGTTTTTTGGATCTTACTTCCAGGACTGAACCCAGCACAACCAGGACACCAACTCTTCTTCTGCTGAGGGACTCGATTTAGAAATGTCCTCTCCAGTCAAACTGGGGTTTACAGGAAGAAATGTGTTTGGGTCAGCAAATTAAATTACAGCTTCATAAATTACAATCAAATTCAAACATTTCTAACTTGTCAAATTCCTGTTGGAACCCTAATACAACAGACAATTGACAAGAAAGTCATGTGTTCCATCTGCCAGCTGTCGGCTCTGCATTAATACTGAACATAGTCTGGCACTCTGCTGTAATGTTCACACTGTGTCAGAACCACAGAGTTAACAAACTGTATGTGCTTCCAGAGTTTCTCTTTAATTTTATTTTTAGAAAATAATAAAACTGTAACAAACATTGTCAAAAATGACAGAAGCAAAAATTTTAGTCCTTCAGTTTAAACTAAATTCTGAGATTATGAATGGATACATATCATCATTGTACTGGATTTCCATACAGATACACCATTTATTTATTCTAACAATGTAATACAGTTCAGTTCAGCTTAAGTTTGTTTTCTACTTTATGTGTTTATTTCAAACATATTTACATTCACAATTCAGATACCATGATATATAGTTAGATAACTATCTGTTTGAAAAGGAGGTAGGCAAAAGTATAAACTTATTTGACCTCTTTCTTTTATGTGTATTATTTTTACACATTCTTTAATTAAAGCAAAGAAAAAAATCTAATGAAAAACAATAAAAACCAACAAAACAAAAATAAAAATAAAATACACCCAGCTATTTATTCTAAGAATGTAATTCAGTTCAGTTTAGTGTTTTCAGGTAATGATAATTCACAACACATATCATCTCAAGGCACTTATAAAAAGTCAATCAGTTATTGATTATTGATTGATGACAGGAAATTCATCATCAGTGCATCAAGTTCAGTTTAATATTCAAACTGGTTCAAAAGTTTTGAAGCAAACCCAGCATTCACTTGTAGCGACCATTGCTCACATTGTGTTGCTGACTTTGCAGCACTCCCTCAGGCTGAGCATGCATGTAGCGACAGTGGAGAAGAAAAACTCCCCTTTAACAGGAAGAACCCACCAGCAGAGCTATAATTATTAATTTATTAATATGTACACCTGCATTTAAAGCTACTCAGCAACACAAAATCCAAAATGCTGCATTACATATCAGTACAAACAGACGTCTGAACAGCCTTCTTGTCATGACTCATATCTCATGACCATTCAGAGTAATTTGACTGGATCATGTGTGAAAAACAGGAAGTACTGCTGGAGCAAAGCTTCAGTGTATGGATGCTCTGGCTTCTCAAAGCTCATAACGGTTACAGCAGATGAGCTGGTTCTGGTTTCTTCCTGTTAAGTGGGAGTTTTTCCTCTCTACTGTCGCTACAGCAATCCCTTATACTGATCACGCGGTCAGTTTAAGGCAGAGGTTCCCAAACTGTGGGGCGCGCCCCCTAGGGGGGGCGCCGTGTCATTGCAGGGGGGCGCGGGAAGCCGTCTGGATGAAAAAAACAAAACATGAACACTGTATGCGCTGGGTTTTTACCTTAGAATGGCCAACTCGCTGTTATTCCTGTGTCAATTTGATACAGTAGAGGCTTCCACACTTCCCATATTTGTGTCCTCTGTCACTTTTATCAGCAGTTAAAACTGTTTAATCCGTTGTTAACATGTTGTAACCTGTTTTTCCGAGCCACCTTTAAACGCAACATGAGCGCTACGACGCTCGCGCTGGGTTTCCACCTGTGAAGGAGACCTGCTGCTGCTGTGCGGAGCTACGTAGNAGTACGGAACATGCAGGAAATCTCAGGTTTGATTCCCAGAGACATGTTTGAACAAATTCTGAAGCAGGAACTGAAATTGCAGAATCTGGTTTACCATCAAATTTGTCCAATCAGAGCGCAGCTTCTGGGTCTACATGGACAGCCTTAGTACACACACTGTAGTCTGTCCATCTCTGAGGATTCTGTCTCTCCTCTGCAGCTTTTAGGACAAGATTGAAGCTTTGGAAACAGGTAAACCAGTTTGTTCTTCAGTTAGCTGAGGGAGTCGAAGCGAACAGACGGCTCAGCATCCTCAGCGCTCTGACAGCCCAACATCTGGAGCTGTGTGAGGTCAGGGGCATCAGTCAGACTTCTGCTGGTTGAAACTGATTTCCACTTTCCTTTGTGGTCTGATCTGATCTGCTGATTCCAGTTTTCACCTTTTGCGATTCTTTCATGGAAGCCTGGAAGGAGAAACCATACTGTGTCTTCCTTTGATGGAGGCAGCAGTAGTTTTAAATGCAACATGAAGGAAGTGCAGATTCATTCACACATAAAAGCAGAAGATCATTTAACTTTATCTAGTTGCTATTGAGCCCTGCGACAGACTGGCATCCTGTCCAGGGTGTACCCTGCCTCTCGCCCGAAACGGTCGCTGGAGATAGGCACCGGCCCTTCATAACCCCACTAGGGACAAGGGTATAAGAAAATGGGTGGATGGGTGAATAGATGGTTGTTATTGAACACAAAACATGCATAGAAGTAACTGCAGTTCGTTGGTGTTTAAAAATAAAAAATAGTGGAAGTATTGATGCATTTAATGAAAATGAAAAAAAAAAAACTAATTTTTTGTTTTATTTTATATTAATGTTTCCATATTGATTAGTATGCTAACATGTTGGTGGCAGAGTTGCGTTGCAGCAACCAGGCTCCGGTCTTTTAGCATGGAGTTTTCATGCGTTGGTTCTCTCCAGGTCTTCCCACAGTCCAAATACATCTGCTGGGTTGATTGATCTCTCTACGTTGTCCTGGTTGTGTTTCCTGGTGATAAAATCTCAACATGCCCCGCCTCTCGCCCAATGACCGCTGGAGATGGGCACCATCCCTTAGCCTATAGACAGGAGAAGCAGATATTGATAATTGATAGATGTTATCAATACAAATCTTCAGATTGATAAAAAATGCATAGATGTCTGTGGTTCAACAGATTTATTTTGCAGCTGTTGGGTTCAAAAATGTGAACTAATGAAACTCTTCCTCCTCAGTGTTGGATTCTTTTTGGACAGCTCAGAGTTAAAGAGTCAAGATCTCTTTTCCCAGCATCATTTGTTTTTCCTTCTTTCCTCTACAGGTTCAAGATGTGTGGCATCTGGGCTTTGTTTGGCAGCGATGAGTGTCTGTCGGTTCAGTGCACGTGTGCTATGAAGATTGCTCATCGGGGCCCCGATGCTTTCCGCTTTGAAAATGTCAACGGTTTCACCAACTGCTGCTTCGGCTTCCACCGACTGGCCATTGTGGACCAGCTGTATGGTATGCAGCCACTACGAGTCAAGAAGTTCCCTTACTTGTGGCTCTGCTACAACGGAGAGATTTACAACCACCAAGCAGTAAGACAGCTGTGAAACTGATCTGGCTTTTATAAAACCAAGCATTACAAACCAGCCAACACAATGGAATCTGAGAACAGACCACAGTTTGCTGAAGCAGTTTGCTCTCCACTGATGCTCCCTCTCAGTAGCTACTAGGTTTCATTGCTGCTAATTATACCACAGTCATTGTTGGTGGAACTGTAACAAACTGATTAGAACATAAAACCAGCACATCCTGAGGCACAGAAGGATTTATTTCTTTATTTTATATATTTCTGAAACTCGGTAGCTGTAGACCTCCAGGCTTCATGCAGTCTTCATATTAGTTCAAGAATAACACTAGGTTACAACAAACAATGTTTTGGAAGTTGTCTGATTTTTTTTTCCAACTGAATTAGGACTATTTGGCACCACTGAATCCAAAAATAACATCCAATTTTTTTTCTCAATCAAGTCAGGTTTTTATTCTAATTTGATTTTAGAGAAATCTGATCTTCTGACTAAACTGGTTGCATTTCTCTGACATTATCAGATCATTTCTGTTAATATTTCTTATTCAAAAAAGGTTTTAGGAGAAAAAAATGTTTTCTATAGTTTATTAATTAAATATAAACTTGTAAATTGAATAATAAACGCTGATAAGGGTAAGTACATGTGAATTGAACATCACGTCTTCATTGTGTAAAATTCTCCGTCTCTTTTCTGTCCTGGTGGAATCTCTCCTCCTGCTCATCACTCATTGATCAGATTCTCAGGAAACTGATCCAGATTTGAGAACAAGTCATGAATTTTGGTGCTCATGTTGCTCCATAGTTCAGAAAGTTGACCTGATTGAGCAAAACCACTGTGATTTTTGGATTCAGCTCATCAACATGACCCTAAAACAGATGAAAAACCCCAGACAATGTTTTAGCTGTTTACCAGTGTAATTACTAGAGACTTGGAATAAGTTTTTAAGACCAATCAGCTGGACAGTCCAACACATATGCTTGTGTTGTATGCATATGAAGTATTCAGGCTAGTGGTGAAGTACCCCACCATTAGCCAGTAAAGTAGTGGTTAATGATTCTCATGCCTTGGTCTGGTGCTGGCTTGCTAAGAATGAAATGTCTTTAAAGTTATACGTCTGGCATTTGTATGCTTTTATATGTATTTTTATCGGTTGCAGATGGTTTCAGTGGGGTAAATCACAAACTCTGCCACTTTTTTGTCCTTTCAGCTGAAGACAAAGTTTGACTTTGATTATCAGACTAAAGTAGACGGTGAGGTTCTGCTTCATCTGTACGACCGCTTTGGAATCCAGAAGATGGCTTCTCTTCTGGATGGAGTGTTTGCCTTCATCCTGCTGGACACAGCCAACAGAAAGGTGTACCTGGGGAGAGACACGTACGGCGTCCGGCCGCTCTTTAAGTTCCTCGCCGATGATGGCTTCCTTGCAGTCTGCTCAGAGGCCAAAGGTCCTGGGTTAGCGTAGAACAGCTACCCGAACTAACTGGTGAGGTTGTCTCGTTGAACACGAGTTAACTTGTTCTTCTGATTGTAGGCCTTGTAGAAATCACCCACTCCATGGAAACCGCTGCCAGCATCGTTCCCTTCCTTCCCGGCTACTTTGAGGTCTTTGACTTGAAGCTGAATGGCAAAGTTCAGTCGGTTCAGTTTGAGCAGTTTCACTGCTGTACCAGAGAGCCTGCTCATGCCTTGTACGACACGGTGGAGGGACTATCTTCAGGTGAGAAGCATCCTCTATCGGGTTCAGCTTCTCTCATACTATCTATAATCAAACCAATGTGTTGTTCCAGATTTTGGTGAAGAAACGGTGAAACGTAACATCAGAACTCTGTTTGAAAATGCTGTGAGGAAACGCCTTATGGCCCACAGACGCATCGGTTGTCTGCTGTCAGGTAGCTGCTGCCGTTTGAATCAGAAAATGGTGATATTCATCGTGATGAAACATGCTTGTTGTATTTACTGTACACAGTGCCAGCAAAATCACTTTTGCTGCTTGAACTGTTTTTTTCCCCCAGCCTCACTGAAAGCGCCATTTGTTTTAAAGGCACAGATACACTATCTCATGGCCAGTTCTGGGAAAAAAAATGTTGTTTTCTTCTGCTTTTGATTGTTTTCGAGTTTTATACATTAGTAAATTTATTTCAGTAACTCCATCACCAAGTGAAACACATAGATTAGTCAGACTGCTGTTCTAACACCTTTGTTTCTCTTAATGATGATCATTTTCTGCTTACAACTAATGAAAACATGACATTTTAAATTGAAATATTTACATCTGACCAGTAAAAAAAATGCAGTTTTACAAACAGAAATGTGGGCTTAATGAAAAGTATGTTTAATACCTGCTTAAAGGTGTTTTTAACCTGACAAATGAAATTCGAGATGTATGTTCTAATTTATTGGATACGACTGTAAATTTAAAAATGAAGTTTAAATGATTATTTCATCTATGAAGGAAAAATGCTTCCCAAAGCTCACTCAGTCTCACTAGACACACCCAGATCTGATCGATGTGAAACCAGACTAAAGAAATCATAGAATATGTAGAACATGTGAAACACACTAAGGGTGTATCCACACACCAGCCCTGTTCAGTCCGCTTTAATCCAACTCTGGGTGGTTTGTCTAGAAAGTCCGGTTTGTTTGGAAAAGTGTGAATGTGTAGTCAAACTCTGATGTGGACCAAAAAATTGAACTCTGGTTCTCCTACAAACTTTGGTCTGGGTTCGGTTGAAGTGAACTCTGGTGCGGTTAGAATGTGTATATGAACACCAAGCGAACCAGAGAGCGCTCCAAACGCAGGAAGTGGACTACCGCACAGGACATTCTGGGTTCTCCAGCAGGACAAAAACACAGCAGCAATTCCACCCCTGAGCGGTTATAAAAACAGAATGGTTTTGTCAAGTCTTGATTAGTCTGATTGACATGCTGAACTTAAACCAGTTAGAAATACCTAAAATGTTGCTGAAATAAAGCAATGCTGCCAGCAGAGGGGGTCAGAATTCCTCCACTAATGGTCAGTTATAGCTGGTAGTTGTTGATGCTAACTAAGAGTGGCACAATTAGCTAAAGCTACTAGCTTTACGATGCAATTGATTTTTAATATAGTGTCGGAGTGGCTTGGAGCTTTTTGCCCTTTTAATGACTAAAATCCTAATTTTAAAACTACTTTTCTTTTTTACTCGGGTAATATTTGTCTTGCGTTCAAATTTATTTAATGACCTGAAACTGTAGTGTTTTCAGACTACAGTCAGATTTATTTCATTTCGACAAAAATGAAAGAAATCTGTAAGAAAATACTTTTCTCAGTACTGATGGTGTAATAAAGTTGACCATTTTTGACCATTCTTTTCTTTGAGAGAACGAGTTATTGATCCAACATGGTGGTGGATATGGAGTCATTCCTGTTGTGTCGTCTGATGGCCAGGTGGTCTGGACTCTAGTTTGGTTGCAGCCATGCTGCTGAAGCTGTCCAAAGAGGAGAAGCTGCCGTATTCCATTCAGACGTTTTCCATCGGCGCCGAGGACAGTCCTGATGTCATGGCTGCTGAAAAGGTCAGCTTAGCAATTTTTCTACTTAAATCATCTGCAGTTGATTCATGGAAGGAACTTTGGTGTCTGTACTTTGTCCTGTGTGTTGTCAGGTGGCTGCTCACATTGGCAGTGAGCACCACAAGGTGGAGTTCACAGCAGAGGAAGGAGTCAAAGCTGTGGAGGATGTCATCTTCCACCTGGAGACCTATGACATCACCACTGTCCGAGCCTCTGTTGGTGAGTGATGGCTGGCAGCAGACAGAACCTCCCGACTTTGACCAACAGTTGTTAGACTAAAATGAACGTCATTCTTTTATTCTATGAACTACTGACAACATGTCTCTGAAATTCCAAGCAAAAACATAGTATTTATTGGCAGAAAATGAGAAATGGTCAAAATAGATGCATTGCTTTCAGACCTCAAATAATACATAGAAAACAAGTTCATATTCATTTAGAAAGATCAATATTGATGTTTTAACTCAGGAAGAATTCAGAAATCTATATTTGGTGGAATAACCAGGAGGTTTTCAATGGGGTTCAGTGCAGTGGACTCTTCATTTTTTCCAAAGATATGTGTGTGTGTGTGTGTGTGTGTGCGTGTGTGTGTGTGTGTGTGTGTGTGTGTGTGTGTGTGTGTGTGTGTATATATATATATATATATATATATATATATATATATATATATATATATATGCAATGTGTGTTCAAAAAGGTCGAGATATCATTTGTTCCGATTTTTGCACGTCTCGTCATTCCTCAGTAGAAATGAATCAAAAAGCCGCTACAGATCAGCCTGAAGTCGGTTTCTGTTCACAGGGGAATCAACAACCAGACTGCTAATAAAATAACTTGATTCTGTGCATTTCTGCAGCCTGGAAAGTTTACTGATGTGACATTAATGTACTCACAATCACCACATTCCTCTTTCCACCCGAATGACTTTTTTGAATTAACCTTAAATCCAGTGAGACGTGGTGAGGCCGGTGAGGTTAAAGGGCGATGGACAGGGTGCTGGCTGCTGCTGCTGTCCAACCACTCCTTAATGTCATATTGTAATAATGACTTTTCCATGAATGCCTTCAAACAGCAGTAAAAGTGAACTTGCTAAAATTAAGGTTCTGTTTCCTCCGCCGCAGGGATGTACTTGGTATCGAAGTACATCAGGGAGAAGACGGACAGCGTGGTGATCTTTTCTGGAGAGGGCTCTGATGAGCTGACTCAGGGTTACCTTTACTTCCACAAGGTAGGTTCTCCAGGAAGCTGTCCGTTACACCGCCAGCCTCCAGCTCTGCTCCTCTGCCTAGCAACTGCAATGTTGAGATTTCTGAAGTGTTCCAGGCGAGGTTCATCATTCAGCTCAGATATGCTTAACTTGTGATTGATGTTTGTACTAAAGTAGCAGTCACTTCAGTTCCACTGAATAGAAATCATCACAATCCAGTCCAGAGTCATGTTATGTTGTAACCAGAAGTATTATTAGTGACTCAGTTGTTGTATTTTTATTTGCTGTTTCAATCTCCAGTATCTATAAAAAGTATTCACTGCCTTTATGTTTTACCCTTTTATTGCTTTTGCAAATTAATCATGATCAACAAAATGTTACTATTTTTGACAAAAAAAATACAAAAAAGACTTTCTGACATCAAAGTGAAAATTAATTTGTACAAAAATAATGATGATTAAAGAAAAAGAAATGCCATAAAATAAGTGACTGCATAAATATTCCCTCCTTCCAGTCAGTATTTGTTATTTGCCCCTCTGGCTCCGTCCCAGCAGGGAGTCTGTGTGGATCGCTCTCAGTCATTCTGCTCATCTGGATGCTGAACTTTTCCTCCATTCTTCCTGCTGAACTCCTCCAGCTCTATCAGTTCAGCTGTGAACAGGTCTGGACTTTGACTAGGCCACTCCAGAACCTCCCCCTTGTTGTTTTCAGAGCGTCTCTGTGTATCTTTAGCTGGAAGCTTCGGTTCGTCGACCTGCTGGATGATAAATGTTCTCTGAAGCCGAAGCTCTCCGGAAGATGGAACCTAACCGTTTGATTTCCCAGCATTCGTTTGACCTTTGACCTTTCAGGACCTGCTGCTCAGAAGCATCACCACAGCATGATGCTGCCACCATCATATTTCACTGCAGGGTTGTTGTGTTGTGGTGATGTGCAGTGTTTTTGTCCTCTACAAACAGCACCTTAATAAAAAAATCTCATCAGATCAAAGAAGTTTCTTCCTCCTGGCCTTGGAGTCTCTTCCCACGGGCCTCTAGGTAAACAAACTCTAGTCCAGCCTCGATGTGACTTTTCCTCATCAGTGACTTCCTCATCGCCTCTCTCCCATAAAGCTCTGACTGGTGTAGAACCAACAGTCGTCTGCAGAGTCCCTCCATCTCAGCTGCTATAGCTTGGAGCTCCTTCAGCGTAGTCATGGCAACCTGGTGTCCTTTCTCACTAGTCTTCTTTATGTAGACTGGTTCTCAGGTTGGGAGGACGACCTGATCAAAGCAGATTTACACATGAACCACTTTCTTTCGTGTCTTGATTTAACTGAACTCCAGGAGATTTTCTGGACTTTAGATATTTTTTTTTTTATCCATCCTCTAACTTATACTATTCAATTACGTTTTCTCCATCATTTTCTTAGAAATCAGTTTTTACTCTGGCATTAAATGTTTTGGAGTTTTTTCTCCAAAAAGTCAGATTTTGTTGTCATGATAGCCTAAAAAATGCTAATAAAAGGTTAAAGCATCCAAGGGGGTGAATACTTTTTATAGCCAATGTAACTAGCAGAGCTGTGAAGGGAGGATGTCAAATTCAGCTCAGTCTTTTGCTAACTGGACTTTTTCCTCCTCCAGGCTCCAAGTGCCAAAGCAGGAGCAGATGACAGCATCCGCCTCTTAAAGGAGCTCTACCTGTTCGATGTTCTTCGTGCTGATCGGACCACCGCCGCACACGGGTAAGACCTGCCACACCCCCACCGGCTACAACTCCACACTGGAACCATTTAGATAAACAATGAGCTGACTTTATGCTAACTGAACATAGCATCCGATCAGTGTAACAACAGCTGGTTATAGTCGTCTCCATTAAACACTCTGCAGTTCTGGGAAAAAAGAATAAGGGGATGTGCTTAAAGGGACAGTATTATGTTTTTACCAGGCACACTATGCTGCCCTAAGTTGTTATAAAAATGCTGTAAATATCAATCTGTCTCTTTAAGAAGCTCCTGCTCTTTTTGGCCTCTCTAGTATAAAATGGAATGATTCTTCTTTACCAGCTGACTTCTTCATGGGATTCTACCACATGCATGAAAAGCATGTAATTAGCATGTCATTCTAACTAGTTGAATGAAAACAGTTAATAGTAACACATCTCTGTTTTTCAGCTTGGAGCTCAGAGTGCCTTTCTTGGACCACAGATTCACAGCCTACTACCTTTCCCTTCCTGAGGAGATGAGAACTCCTAAGGTCAGTTCCTCAGATGCTCCGTTCTGTGTAGCAGAAGAATCACTCTGCTGCTGCATTGATGAAGCTGCTTGACGTGTGTGTGCAGGACGGAGTGGAGAAACACCTCCTCAGGGACTCTTTCAAAGGCCTGAACTTGATTCCTGATGAGATCCTGTGGAGACGGAAGGAAGCCTTCAGTGATGGTATGATGTCTGAGAAGAAGTCCTGGTACAACTACCTGCAGGAACATCTGGACTCTGTGGTACGTGTGGATCTAGCAATGCCAACAGTGAACCAGGCTAAAGCTAATGAACAGCATCAGGATTCACTTCACATCACCAGCCTAGTTTTTAAATAGTCTGGAAAAGGAAAACTCACTGCTATCTTACATTTCTCATTATTTTCACAAGATAAAATCTGCTATGATTTGTGTTAGTTGGACTGATGCCTGCTACGTTCTGTCTGCTCTGTGGCCGCTCTTGTCAAGTCAACATGTTCTAAAATGGCTGGTTCTGTTTGGGCAGGGGTATCCAAAGTCGGTCCTGGAGGGCCGGCATCCTGCATGTTTTAGTTCTCTCCCTGGTGGTGGTAACAACCTTTTCAGCTTGTCAATGTTCTTCTTAGGCCTCTAACGAGCCATCATTAGATCCAGGTGTGTTAAACCAGGGAGAGAACTAAAACATGCAGGATGCCGGGCCTCCAGGACCGACTTTGGACACCCCTGTGTTTGGGGAACTGTTGTAGAAACCCTGGAGATTGTTCCTACATAGGAGGATGCTTCATAAAGTGAAAAACATCAACCATTCCTCTTCTGGAGACAGCAATATTGCAACATGCTGTCTTCAGTCAGAGGGTTCTGTAGCAGGCCTGTAATACAGACCACTACAGGAGATCGGTCCTGCCCACAGCCACCAAGCACAACAACTGAAGAAACCTAATAATATATGAGCTACAGCAGCATTTAACAGGCTCATCCGCTGCCTGCGAGGCGGGCAAATCCTCAACAGGAAGTAGTTTCTGAACCTGTGGCCAGCCCATACTCTAATCGGTCTGGTGTGCTCCCCAGGTCAATGACAGCCAGATGGAGAAGGCTGAGCAGACTTTCCCCCACAACCCCCCCAGGACCAAAGAGGCCTACTACTACAGACAGGTGTTTGAGAAGTTCTTCCCGGGCCGGGCCCAGTGGTTGTCCCATTACTGGATGCCTTGTTGGATCAGCGCCACTGACCCGTCAGCACGGACCCTGTCCATCTACAAGCCTGACAAACACCAGTGATTGGCCGGAGCGTCTGTGTGTTTCTGCCTATGAAGATGTCAGGCTGTTATGGCTGTCAGAGGTCAGCTGGAGACTGAGCTGACTTTGGGACTCCACATTGTCTCTGCCTTTAGTCCACAGCTGTATAAGTAGCCCATGATGCTGTGTAGAAGCTCTAAGACAGCTTCAGCCTTCAGATTTTGTTTATTTTTCTACAATTTGTTGCTAGCGCTCTGAGGAACAGCGTGGTGGTCTCCGTTAATCCATCTGAACCTAGAAGCATCCAACTCGCCCTCTGTTGGTGTGGAACTCCTGGCAGCTCTGCAGCATTCGGTTTGTCTGATGTTCACCACAGGAGGTCTGTTAAATAAAAGCAAACTCCATGAAACGCCTCAGGGTCCTCTGTCAGGCTCTGGTTCTTTCTCATGCTGGTATTTACTGAGCATTTCTCCCTACAAGTTGCTTCAAAAGCTTACGAAACATCATAAAACAATCTAAACCCATCCATCCATCCATCCATCCATCCATCCATCCATCCATCCATCCATCCATCCATCCATCCATGCATGTATGTTGCTCCATAGTTCAGAAAGTTGACCTGATTGAGCAAAACCAATGTGATATTTGGATTCAGCTCATCAACATGACCCTAAAACAGATGAAAAACCACAGACAATGTTTTTGTTGTTTACCAGTGATTTTGAGAAAAGATAGAAACACTTGGACTTCTCTCCATCTCTTTTCAGATATGTGACTCAGGTAATGTTTTTCTTTACTTCTTATATTTGTCTTATTTATCTTTTATGACTTGAATTTTACAGAATTTTTTTACTAAGCAATGGCCTCCCTGTTGTCTACCTTGAGTAGGTCTTTCAAAGCTCATGAGCTCTCTGCTGTGCAGAATTTTTTTTTTATTTTCTTTATTTAACCAGGTAAACCCGTTGAGATCTAGATCTCATTTTCAAGAGGGACATTGATTTTAGTCAATCAGGTCAACTTTCTGAACAGTTCTCAAGTGTGTGAAGATGGAATTTAGCACATCTTTCTGCAGCCATGGATCCAAACAGGCCCCAATTTACCAGCCGAGCCAAGGAAGAAAGGTTTTAATTTAAATAGGATTGTTATGAAAGCAGCTGGTGTTCCAAGAATTGACAACAGGGGGCATGGGTGTCCTTTTTATGAGCTGAGCCAGAGCATTTGGCTACACCACACTGGAATGCTGCTGTGTACCGCAGTGGGCTGTAGGGGCCAAGGGCCTTCAACTCGAGGCCCCAGGGGCCGCTGTCCTGCAAAGTTTAGATAAAGTTTAGATATGTCTGCCCCAACACACTTGAGTCAGATGATAAGGTCTTTAACAGGACTCTGGAGAACAGGTAATTCAGCCTTCCATTCAGGTGTGTTGGACCTGGAATACATCTGAAAGTTCCTGATCCAAGTTGCAGCACACAGTCTCTGAATTCACACAAAGAGCCAAACTCTCATATCCTCCTGACTCCCAGGAAAAAAATATTGTCCAATCACCATTTTTTTTAAATCCCACAGTCTTTGTAAGGTAATAAAAGGTTTTATGCACTTACTGTCTCTTCCCATAAAATGTGTTATTACTGATGAACACCATTTTTATGAATTAGAAAAAGGTACGTACAAAAGTCCCACCCCTTCACATGTAATATCGTTGAAAAGCCCTAAATGTCCTCTCCAGATACCAAAATGAATTAATTCAGTAGAATGCGGGGAGTGGGAGATATTCAAGTTTAGAAATGTCCTCTACAGAGGACAAAAATGAACTACTGGTAGTCAGGAGGATATTTCTTTAAAAATTCAAGTCTTTACAGATGGTTTCGCTCTGCAGTAATCAGGACTTACCAAAGATGGGAAACTGGTTCAATTTCAACACTATATGAACCCAGTGTTGTCCATTTTATTAGAGCTACTGCAGTTCAGATTGGTCAACAAATTTCTGCTTGTTCTGATAGGAAAATCCCAGGAAATGTAAGAAACCAAAGTTTTTTGCAGGTGAATCAGTGAAATTGTTGGGGGCGTGTGATCATTTGAAAGGAATCATGGCGAAATAAAACAGCCCACCTGATCTACAGACCATTAACTCAGGAAAATGATCTTCAACATGAGTTGAAGGAGTGATGCAAAGTCCATGCTCTGCTGGTAAATCCTGCTACATGTGCTGCCTCCTGTCTGGAGTGACATATTTAATAGAGTTTTTAGTAGGGAGAATAGCTGGTCTTACTAACCTTCCCCTGGACTCTTCCAGCTGTCCTGCTTTAATCACCTCACCCTGTCACAACCTCCTAATGTGTTCAGAGTATCGTATGACTCCCAGTCATGTTTCCTTTAAATTAATAAAGATACAGTGAAAGGTCTCTCTCCTCTCTCAAGAATTGTGTCTGTGTGACTTTGCCCAGGCACGTGCAGAGGGGGGAGCTGGGGGTGCTTGAGCACCTGCCCCTTTTGCTCCTTGCCCCCAATTGCCCTTTTGGTCAATTTTTTTTTTTTTTTTTTTTTTTTTTGGTTTTTTTTTTTTTAAACCCTTCTTTTTCAAAAAAAATATATTAAAATTTTTTTTNATGTTGGTGTCTATTTTCAGCTACTTACATTCATTTTGCCCCCAAAAAAGTCGATGCTCCCCCCTCGTCGTTTCAACCAGACAGCCATTTGTAATCCATAGGGGGGGGCGCAGAAAATGTTTGGAAACCACTGGGGGGGCGCAGAAGAAAAAGTTTGGGAACCACTGGTTTAAGGAATTGCTGCAAAGTCAGTGACTCAATGCAACCTGTCAGGTTTCTTTTCCTCCAGTTTGAATAATAAACTGAACTTGATGTATTGTTTGATTATATATCATATAAGGTTATATATATAGCTGCATATAAACGGCATGTTTATCTTGTGAAGTGCTTTGAGAGAACTGGTTAAATTTAAATCAAAATGGCTTCCACTCCACTAACTAATCCAATTTTTCTGATGGAAACATTTTTATTAAATATCAGTAAAACAGATTTAAAAAAAATCCAGCTGCAGCCAGATACATAGAAGTTCAGATAAAATTCAAAGAAATGAAACAGACATCTTGTCTAATCTGTCAGTTTGTCCTTCAGGTTCTGACTTGGGGAGTTTAGTCATTTTGTACGTGTCCTCAGTTTTAAACCAGATGAACTGGGTGTGAAGCTATTTCCAGTTCGGCCATTTCCCCTCCCTCACAGAAGCTGCTCTCCTCCTGGGTCTGACTGAACAGACTGAATTGATCCAATACATTCTGGCGTTTGGAGAGTTTTTACTTCATAGTTTCAGTACTGTGTAGGAAGTGACATGTTGACTATATACAAATCATAATCTAATTAAAAATAAACTACAGACTGCGCTAACAAGTCAGAACACTACATTAGTTTCTCTTATTTAATTTCTTTCTCCAACTGCACAATTATTTAAGTCAGTTACTAAATATATTTGATATCAGAATAATCTACATTAAATAAGAAAATGTCTCTTTGGGATCATTTCATAAATGATTTCCTTTCTTTTTACTTTCCTTCCTGCTGTAAACCATTCATGACTTTTTCTTTCTTTGGACTTCACTGGTAAAGTGAATTACAGTACCTATTAGCCTCTTACAATTCAGTGATGAGCAACAAAATGTGACTTTTTTGATTAAAAATGACAGAAAAAAAGTTTTCAAAGTGAAAACTGAATAATAATGAATTAAAAATATTGACCATACAGTAAGTATAAAGTAGTATAAATATTCCCTCCTTCCAGTCAGTATTTGTTATTTGCCCCTCTGGCTCCGTCCCAGCAGGGAGTCTGTGTGGATCGCTCTCAGTCATTCTGCTCATCTGGATGCTGAACTTTTCCTCCATTCTTCCTGCTGAACTCCTCCAGCTTTACCAGTTCAGCTGTGAACAGGTCTGGACTTTGACTAGGCCACTCCAGAACCTCCCCCTTGTTGTTTTCAGAGCGTCTCTGTGTATCTTTAGCTGGAAGCTTCGGTTCGTCGACCTGCTGGATGATAAATGTTCTCTGAAGCCGAAGCTCTCCGGAAGATGGAACCTAACCGTTTGATTTCCCAGCATTCGTTTGACCTTTGACCTTTCCAAACATTTCAGGACCTGCTGCTCAGAAGCATCACCACAGCATGATGCTGCCACCATCATATTTCACTGCAGGGTTGTTGTGTTGTGGTGATGTGCAGTGTTTTTGTCCTCTACAAACAGCACCTTAATAAAAAAATCTCATCAGATCAAAGAAGTTTCTTCCTCCTGGCCTTGGAGTCTCTTCCCACGGGCCTCTAGGTAAACAAACTCTAGTCCAGCCTCGATGTGACTTTTCCTCATCAGTGACTTCCTCATCGCCTCTCTCCCATTTTGTTGAGCATGACTGATTTGTAAAAGCAATAAAAGGGTAAAACATTTATAAGCACTGCACAGAGTTGAATAGTCTGACTTTGTATTTACTATTACTTCCATCTAATGACTCCTAATTAAAGTAAAATCACTCTGAGAAACTTCCTACTGCCTGAAATGGTTTGGAGTGAAAGCAGGAGCCACAGAGAGAGGAAGCCTGCAGGAAGCTCAGCCACAACCCAACTCTGGATGAGACAGACAACAACCAGGAATTCTGTTAGGAAATGACTGGAATGAATCCCAGTCAGAGCTTTGTTTACCTAAATGTCCAAGCTCACCTGCACAATTTGAGTTCTTCAGAAAAACATATTCATCTGAGGATATCTTAAAGACAAACAGTTTTATGCAAGATGACCTCATAGTGAAAATACATGTCCTGAATGGATTTGAAAGTGTGAAAAAGTGTGGAGAACACAGCGATTCAGAATGAACCTGGGTCGACTGCAGTGATGGCATAAAGCAGCACATTAAACCTAGACTCAAATTTCACTGTAAGACATGGCAGAGGCGTAGTGATGCGACGGTGCAAACTATTTTAGAGACAGATGCTTGAGGCATTATAAAATGTTGGGTTTAATTTGGAAAATTGAAAGTTTCAGAAACCATCAGCACACATAGGGGATGTACGGCGTTTCTGGACTGGAGCAAAACAGTAAAAAGTTAAGTATTTGATGAAATGATTTAATCAGATATTAGCAACCGAGGCCAACCGGTGCATCTGGGCTTGTTTTTCAGCCTGGCTTTTTACCCCCAGTCTGATGGTAGTTGAAAGAACAAGGTCATGGATCCAAGCGGCTCAAATCAGCTTGCTTTTAAGACAGTCTGTGTTTACCCTGGGGATGCGGTAAGGAGCTCACTCTTTCAGGGGGCTCAGGGCGCACATTACCCTTTCAAACTAAAAGGTATAGTGTCAAGGTGACTGGGACATCTGAGCACTTCGTCTCCTGGACATCATCCAGGCCAAGTGTTTGAGACAGGTT